CCGTTGTATAATAATTGTGGATCACACAGTGCTTAGTACGGGCATTCAATGTACGAATTTCTGGAGACGACACGAATTTTTCTACGCGATCCATTTCATACTCGCTCATATCACTAGTACATCCACTATCGTCGGACAGTATTTCTTCGTCGGACGACTCTTGGTTCATTATATTCTCAAAGTCTATTTCCACTTCATCAAACACTTCGTCTCTAATATTCGCGAACTGTTCCTCATCCACATTTCTAATACGTCGACTCTGTCCTCAATGTTACCGATATTCTCGAACTCTACATCGTCCATTATGTCCTCAAATTCTATTTCCAATGCTTCAAATAACTTGTCTGCATTTACATCATCCATGTCCTCAACGTCTGCATGATATCAGCCATACTTTTCACATTACACTTATTGCGATTCGGTAATTTTTAAAAACGTCAACTAAGATGCCGCGCGCTTATGACCCATTATATATTCTACTTGCGACTTCTTTGTCCCTTTGTCTATCCTCCCTATTGAGTTGCAGCATCGGTGATGTGTCACCGATCTCTTCTTACAAAAATGTCGTTATCAGTTTCTCTCTTAACGCATAGCGATGTGTTACCTGATCTCACGGTTCTTCCTAGATAAATATCATTATCAACGTTTCTGACCTTGAAAGAAAGAACTGTGAGAATGCAGTATGATTTCATTATCATCATCTATCCCTCATTGAAGGCGCTTTATATAGCAGCCGATACATCGATGATGTGCCACCGATCTTCTAGACAAACCACGTTATAGTGGACGCATTTTTTGGGGTGAGTGTTGGGGTGGTGGTGGTGATCTCGTAACGCATTTTTTTTTGTTTTTTGGGATAGACGCGGGGTCCGCGGCGACAGTTCGAAACGCACTTAGGGTGGACGCGGGGTCCGCGGCGGCGGCAGCACTGCGGCAGGGGGGGGGGTGCCTGGGGCGGGGGTGGCGGCAGTGGTGGCAGCGTCTGCGATGATGGGTGGCGGCGGTCCCAATAATACGTGACACCGCACATGGCGACACATCAGTAAACATCGATAGCACCGGGACGTAAACATCGATAGCGCCGGGACTTCCAGCGCCTTCCCTCCCTTCCCCGCGTCTACCAGTACTCCCCGCGCCTACTCCCCCGCGCCTATGAGTATCCCCGCGCCCCGCGCTCCCCTCAGAGGACCTGAGTTAGAACCCGCCTATTATTCCTACTCAATGTCGAAAGATATTTTCGATCAGAGTGTCCTTTGTTTATTGAAGGAATCTCGGGTAAAAGTCCAATTTCACAATTCACGTTAAACTCTTAACCAAGGTTCAATTTGTTTCTCCAATTTTTTTTTCCAATTCTAGAATTGGAAAAAGACAATGAGATAAGTTGAATCTTGATTAAGAGTTGTGAAACTAAGCCTTAATCAAACTTAACAGGATGGAAGCGAAAATATTGCTTTAAAATTAATAAGAAAATAGAAAAATTAATTTGCATTAATTTTATTTGCGAATTAGTTTCGTCGGAAGATTTTGGGAATAAGATTTGACTCGTAGGGGGGAGGGAGGGGAAGAGAGAAAAGGGGAGAGGGGGGGAGAGAGAGGAAAAGAGAAGAAGTGGAGCGAATATTAACAGAATATAATATAGGTTTAATATCAATATAGAAAAGGATTTATTTAATATTCTCAAATAAGCTACACTAATATAAAATATGAAATAGAATATAAATCGTGTTTGTATTATATATATGTCGGATGTATAAGATCGCGATATATGTGTGTAAAGTATACGTGTATCAATCGATAATAACAAAAGTACTAATCTGCAGTACTAATCTGCAGGTGACGCACACAGATTTTGAGTTTGTGGCGTGATCGGATCGCGGTCCGCGGAAACGAGTGCGACTACACTAGATGGTACTAATTCGCCGAGCGCGATGAAGTCAGACGTTGTGCGGCTCTGATAAAACGTGGTATCACGGCAGGCATGTGTATACAGTTCAGAATACGAGCGCATGGAATAATGTAACTCGAATTCGTGCGAATGCACAGGCGTGCAGGTTGCAGGGTGCAGTAGCTAAGCTGCTCCTGCGCTAATAATACATGGCAGCGGCTACTGAGAACGCTCGGTAGAGACGGAGAACACTCAACTCCTGTTTTCTAGTCAAAGTCTGTAGAAACATATGCTGCTACCGAGAACGCTCGATCGAGACAGTGAATGTTCTATCTTGTTTTTCTCTCTGATAGGAAAACGAGTCAGACTCGCCGATTGCTGAGAATATTCAGCGGAGACAGAATACGCTCTACTTTCTTTTCTCACTATTAGTAGAATCTGGATCAGATTTTTGGAGATTTGGAGTGCTCTGGAAAAGGATCAGATTAGACCTTTTTATCACGCGATCGTGTCTTTTATTTCTCGGCGTTGGATTATTTTCCGATAGCCGGTTTTCCCCCACGATGCACGCGAACCAGTTTTCGCACGATAATATGCTCGATGGTATTTGACGCGATTCAGATATTTTCGGAGCGAAGTTTATTTCGAACCTTCTATATATAATAGAACAGAGTTGGTAAAGACTAATGTTTTTTTTTTAAATAAAACATAATATGTTTTTTCTTAAATATTATTTAATGTTTCAAATATGATTTAGGCTAATTCTACAATGTGCTTTTTATTTTCTGTTTCTTGCTGTTTGTGTCTTGTCTTATTGATCAAAAAAGCAAGAGACAAACAGCAAGAAATAGGAAACAAAGAACATATTGTAGAATTAGCCTTAAGCCTATTCTACTATGTGCTCTTAGTTTCTTGTTTTTTACCTTTTGCTTTTTTCTTCTTTATAATTATTTTATCAATAATTGTATTTCTTACTACGTATTTCTTGTTTCTTTCGAAGTTCGTTAACATTTATCTCGTACGATATAAAACAAAAACCGGATAAGAAGCAAAAAGATAAGATGTAAAAAAATAGCAAAAAGCAAGAAATAGGAACAAAAAGCACATTGTAAAACAGTATTATAAAAAAAAAACATATTTAAAAACATCAATTAAGCATATTTAAAACATGTTTTTTACCAATTCTGATACAGAATCGGTTGGTCAGCTGAGAACGATGGGATGAAGGGGGGAGGGGTATTATGACATATTATCTGACCGAAGAAAAAAAATCTTTGTTAAATATACATATTATTTCAAAATTCGCGCTTCCGAAGTACAAAACATGATACTTTACATTAAAAGATACAACTTTTTTCTTTTGCAAAATTGCGTCTGACAAGTAGTTTTTGCGGGAGAGCAGGCTGAAATTAGCGAGTAAGCGTTCTATGTGGCGCTCAAGACCGATGCGCGCTCTTCGGTTACCTGTAATCCGTAGCTGATATTTATAATTAATATTTTAAGATACTAATATGATTTTGTTATGATTAGTTTACTACTGCTTAAAGCAGTCTTAATTATAAAAATCAATTATGAATACTGGATTGTAATCTTCTTCCGTATTGTATTGCTTAAAACAGAGCTGTCCAAGATGTTTTTTGAAATCGAAATGTGTCGGTATTCACACCTATTATTGTTCCTACTCTTTACTTGATTGTTGTTTTGTCATAGCGTGCGACGCTCTCAGAGACGATATTAGTTTGAAATCGTTAAAATTTTTTTACTTGTATCTTCCGCTATGTTTAAAAGTATTTTGTTATTTATATTTCTATAGTTAAATATATTAGGTGTATAACTTTGCTTCCGCCGTTTTCCTATAGATGGCGGTAAGTAGTGGTCGAAATAAATAGATCATAGACGTCATACAATAAACTTAGACATCTGTCAACATAACCCCAGAAACATTAGTCGATTGTATCTGCATCATAAAGTTATTCTCGATTGAAAATGTCAGTTTACGAGCCAAATTCTCGTCATTTGCGAGAGGTTTTAATTTTCTGCTTCAATGTGAAGAAATCTGTGGCTGAGGCTCATCGAATGTTCTCAAATACTTATAAGACTATTAGTGAAAGAACGTGTTGTGAGTGATTTCAACGTTTCAAGAACGGTGATTTTTAACGTCGAAGACCGGCATAGCGGTGGAAGAGAGAAGGTTTTCGAAGATGCAGAATTGGAGGCATTACTCGATCAAGACTCAAAATCAAGAAGAATCATTGCACGATCATTGGGAGACTCAACAACAATCACAGGCGATCAGTATCGAACGCAATTGATGCGTTTGAGCCGAGCACTGAAAGATAAACAGCCGCAATATAACGAGAGACACGATAAAGTGATTTTACAGCATGACAGTGCTCGATCCCATGTTGCGAAAGTGGTCAAGACATACTTGGAAACATTGAAATGGAAAGTCCTACTCCACCCGCCATATTCTCCAGACGTTGCTCCCTCTAACAATCACTTGTTTCGATCAATGGCACACGGCCTGGCTGACCAGCACTTCCGATCTTATGAAGAAGGAAAAAATTGGATCGATTCGTAGATCGCCTCAAAAGATGTTTTTTCGACGCGGGATTCGTACCCTGCCCGAAAGATGGGAGAAAATAATGGCCAGCGGTGGACAATACTTTGAATAAATGTATATCTAGGTTTTACAATAAAGCCTCGAATTTCGGAAAAAAAATGGAATGAAGCAAAGTTGTACACCTAATATTATGAATAATAATATCTTTAAGTAATAGAATACTATTAGTAATAGAATACTTTTAAACATAGTGAAAGACATAGATCAAAAATTTTTTATGATTTCATAGTAGTGTCATTCATGAGACCGAGTATCGCGCGCTACGACAGCAATGAAGTGAGGAGTAGGTACGGTAATGGAATACTGACACATTTCAATTTCAAGCAAAAACACCGACCTAAAACAATCATCTCTATAGAGGCAAGAAAATTTAAAAAAAGAAATAAAAAGAAATAAAATTTGTTTCGGTACAAAAAAATAAAGATTTACATTTTTTTAAATAAATAATTATTATAAAATTATGCCCTTAATACATTATAGATAATTGTTATAAAAATATTTAAAAGAAATTTTTAAAAGAATCGATAAAACCATTCCTAACATGTTGTATGTTTCATATACTTAAGCAGTCGTAAACTAATCATAACAAAGCCATATTAGTATCTTACTTAAAATATTACTTATGAATACTAGCCAAGAATTTAGTACAAGTGAACGAAGAGCGCGCGCTGATTCTGAGCGCCATATAATCAGAGCACTTATTTGCTAACTTCAACCTATTCTTCTGCAAAAATTACTTGTTAGATGTAATTTTGCAGAAGGAAAAAGCGGGAGCATATTTTAAACACTCAGAGCCGCTCATAGTTTGGGTAAGATCAATACTAGATCTGAACGTTATCTGCACGTGGAATTCGGATCGAAGAATCAATTTGGGATGACAAAAGAAAACTGTACTAGCTAATACAAATGTCATCTTTATTATTGATTCATTTTTACAATCAATTCAATTCAGCTACGGAACCGTACTGAATTCTCTTTGTTCGCTTCGCTCAACTCTTCGCTTTCTATTTCTTACTGAGAGAGACTCATAGCTTGCCGGAACGCATGAACATAATTACGTGACATTCAAATGAAGAAATGTAACAAGTTTAAAAAGATAACGCACGGGTGAAGTTAACGAAAAAGAAAAGTAACGTTTTATACAGGAAAAAATATCTTCATTTCATTGGAACGAAGGCAAAGCAAAACTTAAATGATGTTTTATTTAAGAAAAAAATAGAGGGAAAAATTGAATATTGAGAACGGAAAATCTGTCTCAGAAGACTGTTTCGCCCATGATTGTTTATGATACGCGGTTTTTCCGTGGAATTTTAAGTAAATACCGAGACGAGGATTAGGGAGTCTGTTTTTTTAATGGTTGAATCCTCTCCTTTTCCCCGAAAATTCAAGAGACAAGAGTCCAAGACATAAGTGGAAGATCTGGGAGATCCTGTGTTCAATAAGATTTGTGATATACTGCTCAAAATTTTGTGACAGCAGTTCAGGTTAGAGCAAAGCAGTATGAAAGGGAATTCATGAACAAAATAACTCTCAGTTATTGAGACAAGTCGAGAGAGGTAGGGGAAGTTGCGACTGCGCTTCCCGTATTCGGATGCTTTGTCAGCTGAACGACGAGGTAAAGTTGATTGAAATAGAAATGAAGATCGATCGAAAGAATTTCATTGAATTGAAAACTGTTTTTGACCGATTATATCGATTGCAAATAAAATTTTTTTTATAGAAACGTTATTCATGGCGTGAGTATCACGAAAGCGTATCTTCGGGAAAGTTCCGGAACGATTCACTCAGTAGACACAATACTTATTGTAAATGTGATGCTTTTACTAATAATGTTATTTTATATCACTTTCGCAATGTAGCATGTTCTCTTATGAGGATACAGGCAAGACTTCTATTTGTCTTTGCAACGAAACAAACTGGATATTGACATTCTTGTACACAATCTCAACATTACTAAGTTTATTTAGAAGACGATATCGAATCCTGTCTCTATTCGTTTTTTTAAATTCACAATTAAAAAGTTAATATGCCATAAAAGACTATGCATTATTGGAGGATTAAAAGCTGTCATTCTACTTATTTGTTATTATTGCATTTCTAGTTGGACCATCATCGGAGAGTAAACTGTCATCATCGTCTCCTCCAGCAATACATGATAATGGTGGACATCAAACAACTATCAACAACTCTTTGCAATGGCCGAGTCCTCACACTGTACATGACATTCTGGCTAATAGTTGTAATGTACAGAATTCGTCGTCTTCTTCACCAACTTCGTCATTATGCTCCACGATCAATAATAATCATCACAACCGTCGTGATGACAATTCTGTTAACAATAATAATAACAGTAATAATGAAAATAATAATGATCATAGAATATCGGGCAGTTATCTTCACCATCATCATCCTCATCTAGCACATCATCAACAGTATTACGCATCAGCGCTGTATCACCATCACCATCATCGTACAGATGCTGTGACAGCAGCAACTATATCATCTACACTTTCTGTACAAGCTATTATGTTGCAGTCAGGAACAATAACCCATCCAGCCAGTCCTTGCAATTAGATAAAATAATATTATTTTATTAATTAAAAATCATCCAATATTTAACGTTTTCATTTTCTGTATGTTATTAAGTTTTTCAAATATACTTTTATGCCTTACAGTACTAAAAAGACTTTTGTATTAAAATATATTTTAAGTAAAAATGATAAATGATATAGAATCATTATGGGTGACAGAGGAAACATTTCAATATATTTGAAAAACAAACTTTGAAATTATTTTTATCAAACACAAAAAGTAATTGTTTCTTTATATGAAAAAGAAATTTCCATAGATTTGTAAAAACAATAAATATATAAAATTTTTGTTTAAGGACAAAGCTTAGATTATGAAAGTTTATGTTTATGTTTAAATACATATTATTCCTTAATAATAATTTTATTATTAAGGAATAATATTTATTATTAAGTTTCTTATCCCATTTAGAAATTATAAATGACTTATTAATAATAATCAAATAACTGTAATAAGTTACATCAATTTTCCATTTTTTAATTTTACGTAAGAATTACAAATATCCTATAGTAAATTTACTATGCGGGGTATGATAAGTAAGATATACTGCTCAAAGATATGAATTATTTAAAAGTATTGAATTTTATAGCGCATCTATTACATTGCAACAACTGTAACTCATACAGAACGTGCCTATGAACGTGTAGTTAGTTTTTCTGTCTCTAAAAGGTAGTTAATATCATTGCAATAAAGAAGATATATTAAATTTTGTAATTTTTATCATTTTATTATTATATCACGAATAAATTGATCGGTTTTTACATTAAATTGTTGCCTTATGAATTTGTATCATCTATATTGTGTGCATGGTCGGATTAAGATTTCTGTCGCTCTTGAGCATTTAAATCGTTGCCGTTCCTATTCAATTCTCGAACTGAGATATCCCAAGCCTATAGTTGCGATAACAAAAATAAGAGATTTTTTGTAAGGATTTTACTAGTTCAGCTCAATTACAATGTTTTTATATATACACTTAGAAGTTGCAAAATTATATACAATACATTTTGTTTACTACAATTTTACGCGCTATTTTAATAGCAAACTTATTTGCAAACCAACTAATTCCATTCTATGTATATTTTGTATCGATGATATGAAGAAAGACGGCATAATCCTTTTCGGATTTCTCTCTGGTAGAAATCGACAAAAAAAAAATCGCAAAACCTCGATTTAAATATAATGGTCATCGGTTCAAGAATAATTTTCTAAATCATTTGCGTCTGGCAAAAATGACTATTATTTAGAAATTAAAAAAAAAATGCTGCCTCTCTAAACTTGTCGCCCTTATATATAACCTATAGGTTAACTTCTAATGTCAATCTACTGGTCCTGATTGTGTGCATATACATTTCTGCTTCATATTTATAGCGAATTCGATGGGTAGAACTGGTATGTATTAAAATTTTTGAACAATAATTTGTTGATTATAAAGTAAAATAATATTTCGAATTATAAAATAATTTTGTTCTATCTACAACAAAATGTACTGATGATTTCACAGTTTAATCAATTTTATATTAATATATTAAATACATATTTTTACATCAATTTGTAACAGCTTTAATGTGCACTAGTGCATCCAATCGAATTAACTATTAGCGAAATATTCACTTAGGCTGCGTTTCATTGCACCTATAATATGTTACATTATTTTATTAGGTGTTGGAATTAATTCGTAGCGTTTTACAAGTGATGGGAAGTACTTTCATTAATGTATTTTTTAATGCTCATGTGAAATAAATAACATTCTTTCATTAAAAAACGCTACGAATTAATTCCAACACCTAATATCTTTGTTTAATACTTTGCAAACAACAAGGATAAAATGATACTTTATGAGATTGTTGCTTTTGCCTACAAATCGATTACCTACGGTACCATTTGTTTACATTACTTTTGCCAACAGTTTGCACACATAAATAATTGCCTACAGATCGATTGCCTACATCTACTTTTGCGCACAAGTAAAAATTTTAGAAATGAAGTCACGTTTGCCTACATGCACTATTGCCTACATGTATTATTGCCTACATGTACTATTGCCTACATGTATTATTACCTACATGTATTATCGCCTATAAATATGTGTATATATATATAATACCTATATGTATAATACATATTTTATATATGAGTATATATAATTGTATATATAATTGTATATATAATTGTATATAAAATATGTCAATTATACAGGGTGTCTGGAAATAATCGCCAAATATTTCATGGGCAAGTAGAGAAGACTGAGTCGAGAAGTCCTCTACCATTTTGCAATTTTCGCAATAGTTAACAAGATATTAATTACTAAAAATTGCCAAATATTGGTCTTGAATAATTTTTTACTCAAATCAACTTTATAGAAAAGCTGCAAGAGACAAAAATCATTTATTTTCTCCTCATAAAGTTCTAAGAATTTTTTTAGAATTTTTTATCAACTTTTTAGTATTGCATTTTCTCATTTTTACATGAGAAAATACAGTATTAAGGGGATGCTGGAGCGAAGGATGAAGTTAATCAAGATCGATATTACAGGTTTTTATTTTCTATGTATAAGATGCTCTTTTAATATGCAGGAAATTCGATCGATTAATTATCGATATTTTTATTCCGTTTCCTACATTACCATCTTAGCAGGGACGTATATTAGGGTCGGATCCACAAATGTATTATAAAATTTATTTTGGAAAATTTTCCAATTTTAGAATTGAAAAAAAAATAAACCGTAATTGAAGTTAATCTTATATTTGTAGAATCGGGCCTTAGAAATACAGTTGTATCATGTACACATGCAGGCCGTGTTCCAATATACAGAGTGTCATGAATATACGATCCCACTCGTCCCGAGCAGGTAGAGTGGGCTAAACTGAGTAGAAAAGTCCTCTACCATTTTGTAATGCTCACAATAATTAACGAGATATTAACGTTTAAAGATAACCGAATACGCACGTCCTCTCGACCTATTATTACCGAAAGTACGGCCCACCGAGCACGCGGGCCGCGAGGAGCGGGAATGGCTTAGCAGGCGCGCCGCGTCGTTTGATGCTTGTGACGGTATTGACGGTAAGCCCCCTCCTGTATACCACCAGTATTAAAAAATATATATGTAATATACATAAAGTACAGATTTTTAACTTTAATAGTTATACGAAGCCGTAATAGCACTTTTTCCTTACGTCCAATGCCATTTTAGGTAATAATAATATAGTATTAATAAATGAATACGACATTGCACGTACATAATGTAAGTCTTTTCATGAATATCCATATATATATA